TAATTAATGAAAAATAGATCCAGTAACCAGCAACAGTCGCTGCTATCACTTATCGCTCTGAAACAAGTTTTCCAGCCGTGAAGTTCAAGAGCCTGATTACAGATAATGGACCTAAGCTTTCTGTTGGGAATTTGTTCATTCTGCAGCCTCAACAGAATTTGAACTTTTGACATTTCCATCATGCTGTAGCTTGACTAGAGGTAAAATAGAAGCAGACGTGGTGAAACTGCTAATAGACTGAAACATATGAAATTTTTCACTCATCTGGACCACTAGGAAGGCTAATTGCCCTGTAGAAATGTTAGGTTACTAGAAGTAGGCTCAAATTTAAGGTCAAAATGTTCGCAAATAAGAGTTTCAAACCCCAAATTTAAATTGAATAAAGTTTAGACACTAGAGTCAGCAGTGTCCTGGAATCCAGGAGGGCCAACCATGTCCTGGGGGGCATCAGGCAAAGCATCGCCAGCCAGTTGAGGGAGGGGATTGTCCTGCTCTGCTCTGCACTGGTGTGGCCTCACCTTGAATATTGTGTGCAGGTCACCGAAATATAGGAAAGACATTAAGCTCTTAGCGAGTGTCCAAAGGAGGGCAATGAAGATGGTGAAGGGCCTTGAGGGGAAACCGTATGAGGGGTGGCTGAGGTCAATTGATGTGTTCAACCTGGAGGACTGAGGGGAGACCTCACTGCAATCTACAACTTCCTCGTGAGGAGAACTGGCGTTGTAGGCATCCAGAGGGTGGTTATACTCTGGAACAGGCTCCCCAGGGAAGTGGTCACAGCACCAAGCCTGACAGAGTTCAAGAAGTGTTTGGACAACGCTCTCAGGCACATGGTGTGACTCTTGGGGATGGTCCTGTACAGGGCTAAGGGTTGGACTTAACAATCCTTGTGGGTCCCCTCCAACTCAGGATATTCGATGATTCTATGACTAAAATTCACTTGCCCTTGCTGGGTGTCCTCACATAGGAGTCCCAAAGTCTCTTACAGTCAGCAGGAGAGAAGGAAGTTCCTCTGAAAGCCTAGTAAACTTCAGACAGGCAGGTGAGACCAGCAGGATCTTACTCTTCTGACCCACAGCTTGTTATTTATTATTCCTAATTATTTTTATGATGTGTTAATTGGAATCTGCCTTCACAGACTGAGATTTCATTGTGACAGTAAAACCTCTGATGCACATAGGAGACTGGCCAGAAGTTTTGTCAGGTCACATACCACCATTTAGGAGACTCATTGCCAGAGGAAGGACAATAGATTCTTCATTTAGTTCAGTGTCAGGGAATGGCTTGACAGGGAGGGGATGCCATACTTCTTCCTGGTTAGACTTGTCCTCTTTTATTTCAGGGATCTTCAGGGAGCTAAGGCACAGCCATAAAGTTCTTCCTGTGTGTCAGCATCCCTGGTCTCCAGAGGCAGCAGTTAGAATATGTAGTTCTTGGATTTCTGCTCTTTTTAACAACACAACACAGCAACATTGCTCTGCAGTGCTAACAGCCAAGCTTCAGAATGATATGCCTGGGAAATTCAGTGTTTGCAGAGGCATGTACATATTTAAGTACTTTACATGCATGGGGAAGGATGGGTTGCTATTCTTTTTACAATATGTACACAAGTCATATACAATCAGAGAAAATGCGCAGGTAACTCCTGACATGGGACAAAATAAAAATCAAGGTTTAATACTACACTATTATTCCCATTTTTACAGAAATAAACAAGATTACAAACCTGTCAAATAATTTGATAGATATAATTACTAACATGTTAGCATACAGCAATGCTTGAACTAATTCGCCAGAATAGTGACATTGTAGGCACACTAACACAAGCACAGAGCTTTGGTCCTGAATAAAATTTCTTTGGTTATTAGGTTATTAATGAAAAAAATAAAGGCTGTCTGAATGTGATCCTTGAGGCAATCATCAATTTTGTTATTTCTAGCTCTTAGGCCATTACCCATTGTAAGTTATGTTCAATCACAAAAATAATGAGAGAACAGATCTGTCGGAGATATATAGTAAATTTAACTAATAACAAACAGACTAAGTCTTCTAAAATATTATTGTTCCACTGTAACAATAAATGGAAAGTATAATTGAATGAATGGCTAAGTAAATAATTAAAAGGAATAGGCCCAAACTGGCCATGTGCTCTTAAGGGGACCTTAGCACTGATTTAATTGAGTTCCCCCTGAAGCCATCATTTCTCCAATCTGAATATGTCCAGGTCCCTAACCCACTCCTCACAGGGCAACTGATCCAGCACTGATCATCTTGGTGGCTTCACTGAACTCACTCCAGTTTTTTAAGGTCTTTCAGGTATGGTGTTTGACGGGTAAAATAGGGTGCAGTCCACCACATCTTGGACATGGTCTAATGAGTGATGAGTAAAGAGATATAATTGTGTGTCTTCACCTACTGATTGTGCTCTGGGTAACACAGCCTGCCGACCTTTGCTGTTGCAGCACACTTTGCCATGACTGCAAAGCCAAGGTGTCAGGCAAATAAGTATTTTATGTAGCAAGAGCTACAAGATGATGTGGCTTTTCCTCAAAAGATCAAATGTAGAGAGATGCTGAACATCAGAACATCAGAAACTCCCTTCTGGGACACTTAAGTACAGAAATGGACCAAAATAATCAGTAGAAGAGAGACACAGAATAGTCAATGGTAAGATGTTCAAGCTATTGGTTTATTTTCCAGAAGCTGCAGAAAAACATTCCCTTTCTATCCAGTGAAGCAGCATAGGAAGATATCCACAAGCGATAGACTGTTGTTTACTAATTAATTGAGATAGCAAGTGATGGAGTTGCAAATGGGACAGAAAAGGTGCTTCTAAGGCCAGAGATTGCCTACATAAACATAGGTGAAACAAGAAGAGCAGGTAAACTCCAGAGAAAGGAGGAGATACCACATTCAAGTGAAGTAAACTCCAACACTCAGGGAGGTTTGTGCCAAGAGACCTGCCTGAACTATTTCACCAACAGTAGGAGGGTAGATATGAGTTGTTTAAAGGAAAGGATGGAAATCTACACTAGTCACTCCATGAATCACAGAATTGTTTATGTTGGAAAGGACTTTGAAGGTCATTGAGTCAAACCGTTAACCCAGCACTGCCAAGTCTGCTACCAAACCACGTCCCTAAGAACCACACCTACATGTATTTTAAATATGCAGAGTTTTGGACAAGGAAGACCCCTCTATTCAGGCTTGCTGGGAAATAACAGCTTAAATTGAAGTTAATCACTAGTATAAAACTTGCCAGTTTAGTGGGGACAGGAGAGGGAGGAGAAACAAAAGCTGAACTGAACATTGGCATTTGGGAGAGCAGCAAAACACTCTTGAGAAGTCAAATGCTTCCAGCAACTTCAAATGCTCTAAAGGTGTTTCTAGTAAGTTCTAAATTGCTGTAGTAAGTTAATTTTACTAAAGTAACAGTGGTACTTTCTTATAATTGTGTGCTGACCAAAGCAAAGTAGTTCTGTGACTACTGCAAAGTTTCAAGTGAACCATAAAATCTTGGTAATAATGATAAGTCTAGTAAAGGAGGATAGCCTTTGGATAGCCTAAGAAGGATAGTGTTTGATGATTTCTGCTTTCAACTAGGCATGGAAACCTTGGGGCAAGCATGTGACTTGGTAAGGCACCTATCCACCTCCCCTGCTGCCTGAACAAAAATGCCAATCCTAATTGCTCCTCTTCCATAGTGTAATAAAATAGCATAGATGGGGTATTACTTTCCAAGACGGATACATTCAGTGATGCCTTTCCACTTACTCGTGCAACCTTCTCCACTGGGAGAAGGTTACCATACCTTCTCCCAGGTATGGATAAATCCATACCTGGTATGGATAAAGGTATGGATAAAGGTATGGATAAATCCATACCTTCTCCACTGGGAGAAGGTATGGATTTATCAGGGAATGAGGCAGAAGGAAAAAACTTGCTCTACCCGTTAGCCCTAACCAGTGTACTGGCCTGCTATGCCACAGAACTGCGTAACTCTTTTTCAGACCAGGATGGCATACATCTACATGACAACTCGTTATTCACCATTTACAGAGACCCATATGTTTAATGATTGTAAGCATGTGACTCTGTGTATTAGCCACTGTGGAGATGCATGGAAGAATGTGTTTCCTGGCCCAGCCAATCCATAAGTTATTTCGGGATATAGGCAAATGAAATTAAAGGCTGGAGAGAGAAAAATAAGTTGAGAGAGAAGTTGGGATATTGATAACCTGAAGTTTCACAGATGATCTGTAAAAACAATTTTCTCCAAGCCATTAGAAAAATAAGAAATTATCATATAAACTCATTTAGACATCCTTGATCTCTGCCTTTATTGGGAAACTACTTTCCTGCAGATTTCTTTTCAAAATAGGGTTTTGACTGGTTGTGAGCCTATTCACCATTCTCACTAACAAATTCTAGGGCAAAGAAGGTGAGGAGTATTCTCTTGAAATACCTGTAGAAGAAGTATGCTATATCCAATGCTGGTGTCACTGCAGAGCAGACACCTGGACTGTCATGCAGAGAACCAGCAATGTTGTCAAAAGGTGTTTCTAAGTAGGTTTTCAAACTTATTGCAGCATACACGTCTGATCACAGAGGTAAAATGAGGAGAACATAATGTGTAGGCATACATGCATGGTATCTGTGGATGTATGTAAAAGACATGTAATATGTCCATTAAATACATACAGTTCCTGTGATTTTCAATCAAATCAGCTCTCAGCCCCTCATTCATCCTATATACAGGCTAGGTGCATGACATGGCAAAATGTCTTTTGGAGAACATAGGAAACATGAACTGACTGGTATTCAAGGACATTGTGATTTTATATCTAGAGAAACCTTGGGCAGATGACAGTTGACACAGCTATTCTGGTTTTACTGCCGGTTACTGTAAAAAGATTCCAGTAGTTTTCATTCAGAAGCAAAACAAGGAGGGGGAAGGTGTTTATTTTTATCTTAAAATAAACTGGAGCTGCGACACTCACCTATTACACAGAATGGTTTCCTTGCAAAGCGCAGTCTTCCTTGCCATCCTCGGTATCGACAACAGCATCCAGCAGACCAGATACGAATAATAAATTCCAAACCAAAGACAACAATCATGACAAATTCCTAGAAATGGCAAATAAGAAAAATGCCCGTTACAGATAAACAACGCTAAAGCATCAGGAAACTTATGACCATTGTTTGTGTCTAACAATCCACCCTGAGCATCTGAAGATCCCAAGTCAAACTTGGGAACCTGCTCCCCAGAAGCATCAACACATCTACAAGAAGTATCTTGTACAGTCCCCATCATCTACAGTCCCCAGAGCTTCCTAGTGAATGGTCCATGTCTAACCTGAATACCATTAAATATTGCCTAATAGTGGCTAATAAATATGAAACACTGAAGAACTGAATCATACACAAAAAATGTCAGAGCTAACTACTCAGAGACTTTGGATACTGCGGTCAGACCATAGGTAATTTAGACAACTAGTGAAGAATATGTTCCATATTCACATCCATAAAATTAGTTAAAAGGCAAAATGTTTTGGGAGATATGTTCCCATTGTTGCAATATACACGTGAAGTGACTGAGATGATGCAGAAGCATTTAGGAAATAAATTTGTTCTCAGAAGTACGTTAAGATACATGAAAGTGTAATTACACACAATGGGCATGTAATTGTTTGTAAGGTAGTAAATGAATGTGTCCACCAGGCATAACTTTCCCTGGACAATTTGTCAATGAAAGTATTTATAAATCTTGCCTTGATTGTTTGGCTTGCTTTTCTTTCACATTGGAACCTTCTTTAAGACTGTCTATTTTAATAACATCAACTGTATTTATGCAATCTTTTTTCTAAGAAAGTTTTCATGACAATAGTGAGGTCAACAGGGTTGCAGTAATAGAGTAATTCAGCTCCATACCCTAAGGAAATCTAAATGCATACACTGTGGAGTGATATAGTACATACACACTGGTATGGAATTATAATTTTAGGTACTCTTCCAGAATAGCATCATAAAGTTCTGAGTTTTGGAATGACAAAATAAAAAATTTTGTGTTCACCAAAAGGAGAAAAGTACTTGATGGAGTTTCTTCAACAGCTCATCAAGAAGAGGATGGAAGTTGGGTTTTATTTGGCAGTTGAACGTATTTTCTTGTCCAGAAGTAAAATGTTCTTTGTCAGTCAATTAATTTATTATTCCTGCAGGATAAGGACTAGTGTGGTACTGGTAAGAAAGCACTGCAAATTAATTAGAGGAATATGTGCAATGGTAGAGTTGATCCAATATTGACTTTTCCCCAATAAACACTTTGCATGCTTTTAGACTGTGCGACCCTACAACTCTACAAGCCAATAGGGCTGTAAATACAATAAATGTCTACTCAGGTATTAACTTACCTGAACAATTGGCAAACAAATTATTAACGTTGTTTCATGTAATGGTGCTTTCCTAGGTTATGATTAGTGGAAGTACATTGAAACATTTTGAATTTAATTGCTTTTGCCATCATAGAACAATTTGAAAACACAATATTCCTTCCTAAAACATGTCAGCTTGTTTAACTACATTACATTGAAAGCACTTTTAGAGCCTTCTTCAGTGTCTTCCTTTGAGTTTTGTAAATCCCAGGCTGAATGCCTAAATCACAAAAGCAGAACAATGTCCCTCTGCTAAAACATTGCTAAAGAAAATGTCATACTTTTTATTAGCAAAGAATACAAGGAAAAATGAGTGTGATTGTTTAATGTTTTCTTTTTATTCCACTACAAGAAACTTCAACTTAATTCCATGGACAGTGTTATTACACAGCCTCAGAAAGGATTATGTACAAAATTGAGAAAGTTCCCCATATAGTAACAATAATTCTTAATAGTTGGCTACTGTGTGGTACATTTCCTTGTAGGAAATTCTGTGTAGGCCAAGACTAAAATGGACAGTAAGCCAACTGGAAAAAAGGAAGAATACATATTTTAGTTATTTAATTACCACTTTTATAGAGGTAGTGAAATCATGGATTGTGAAATCTGGTTTACACATTGTTAGATGATGTCTCTGAATTTATGGGGGTTTGATGGCAGGCACCCAAGCCATCCAACATCTGATGCTCCTAATGGAGTTTCTTCTTTGGTGCAGGGGTAAGAGATACTGAAGGAGAGGAGGTCTGTGAAGCATGGAAAATTCTTTGCTTCCAATAAAATCCTTTCCTTGTTAAAATTTAATCACGTTTCATTTGACTAAAGTTTGTTGTTTCCCTGGAAAACATGTTATATGTACAGATGGGTGATGTGCTTTGTAAGTACACTGAAATTGTCACAGACGTCTTACAAGAGATGATTCACACATGCAGGAGTGTGTCCTCTACCATACTCTAGACCTCAGCAGGGCCTCTGATGAAAAACTGGCAAGAACAGAAAGTACTTAATGAACCTGGAAGGACTAGTCCACAGCTACAATTCAGTTAAATTAGTATCACAATGGTAGAAGTACAAAAGAGGCAATTTTTTTGGAAGTTCACTCTTCTGGTTCCTACCAGTGCTTTGCAGCTTTGTATTCATCACCTGTATGGCTATGTGCTATGCTTGCTCAGTTATACAAAAATGAAAAAAGTAATTGTGTGCTGAAAACATGTGCTTGAGCGTCTCTGTACTACATGATGCTGTTTTATGTCAGAGACAGAAATCCTATTTGTCCCTCACACACAAATACATATACTACAAAGAGAAACTTCTTGGAGATACATCTATTTTGGGAGTGAAAAGGAGTAAAAGGATACTTTTCTCAGCATTTTTTTGTGCTGGTGGGGTAAGAGTATAAGACTTTTTTTTGAAGAAACAATGTGAAATATTTCTGTTCATTCCTTGAGAAAAATAGTTACAATTTCTAGCACCATTAAAATTTATGCATGGCGATATTCCCTCAGTATCAACTAAAGTTTCTGCTACTAAGTAAATTTTAAAAAGAGCCATTGTAGTTACAGTAAGTGAGATCAAATACAGAAAATATGGCTCTGTGCACTTGGAAGTTAAAAGAATTGCTGATTTTAACAATACTATATATGATTTTCTTCCACCAATATCAAATTTCTAGAGGTTTTAAAGTACATTATAACCTTTAATATAGAAAAGACACTGAACAAAGTGTAGATGAGGTTTCACACTTATTTTTGCACTTCCTGAAATAGTTGTGTTTCAAACTGATCCTTAAATGCTGGTGACTCCTACTTCCTCGAAGAACAACTGATTTTAAAGGGAATACATATAACAATTAAGTCTAAGGGAAAACGATTTTCCTAAAAAATGTGAATGCATTGAAACAGAACTCTTCACAGTAGTATATATGACAGCTTTGTTGTATTTTAGATTGGTCTGCGTCAAAAACAGAGACAAAGAATCCTACACCACTGTGTAAAAAAGAAGTGTTTTAGTAACCAGGGCACGTGGTCACAATGTACAGGCAAATCTCTGTCAAGGTTAATGCAGGGCAGGGAATGACATTATCTTTTTTCCTATGGCAACTGCATAGTCACAAGGTACTTCGGTTTCTATGGACAGAAATTGGAAGAATGAATCCCAAACAAGATTGAGATTTCTACTTTTATTTTTTTTTAAATTTCATTTGGAAGGCTTCTTGCAAACTTAAACATAAATCTAGGCACTTAAATAACTTGGGTTTAGTTCCTTAGGAATTGGAGCAGAAGATCAGAGCATAATTGGAAAGGCATGTGACAGAATATCTCATTAGACCTCATATGATTTGTAGACCTAGTGTAGAAATGATGCATTCCTGTATCTCTATCCTACATATAAATGATGGAGCTGCATTAATTTGGAATTCCTTATGTGATATGAGTTACAACATTTACATCAGAATCAGAAAATCCTGCATTCTTGATAAACCTGGCCTCTTCAAAATTCAGCAAGGCTGTATTTGAATTGATGAACAAGTTTAGATTTACTGGAAATCCAACACTTCCCTTCCAATGTAGAGCAGAGCTGCATTGTCCTTTGGCATTTCTTGCTTTTTCCACATCTTGTCATCCTTTTCCAATCACAGCTGCCTCTGGCCTTGCACCACAGTTACCACAATCTGTCACTTTTTTGGCTATTTAAACTCACAGTTCCCACCCCCCAGTAACTGTTATGGTGGTTCACACAGTGGAAAGTTCTTCTTCCTTCTGAAAGCACAATTCATCCAAACAAATGAACTTTTCATTCTGAAGTGTTTCCACACACACAGCTCCAGTTGACTTGGGGAACCATGCATACACAAGAGTAGCAAGGTTGAAACATATAGGCTTGAAAAGTTCAGTTGCTTTTGGTGTGAGGAACACAGGTATGAGAGTACTGCTTAAGTTTTTTACATCTGCGTGTGCCTGGGTTTTTATATCACTGGAATGACGAAGGTCACACATATGGCAGGAAAGGAAAATAAGAGGTCATCCAGAGCAACATTTCTGTTAACAAAAGGTCCTGGAGGACTCATCAACAGGGTTGATAATTAGCCAAATCAAGCATACTTTGTACAATCCAGCTACATAAACTTATTTTCCCCCTTTCTTTCCCCCATCTAATTAGGATACAAGAGATGATTTGTTGAAATTGTTTACATTAATATGCTTTTCATGTAGTTTTTAATGATAAGGATTTCCCTAAGCAAAACATGACAGCAAAAAAAGAGCTTATATCACAGTTTCTTACTCTTTAGTATAACAGCTTATTAAAAGTTTAAACAATTTGCTGATGATGAATCCAGGTGCCTTCACTGCAGACTGTAGTTTCTGGGAATTAGAGCCATTTTTGCGATAAGAAAATTACCAAAGTTGAGCACTTTGTGCTATTCAAGGATCCTCCTGGTTATTTTGCAACTTGCAAAAGAGCTAATGTTTGCTATAAGAAATTCACCCACAAGACAATATCTCTGCTGTTATTTTAATTATATTCCGGCTATGGAAGTTGTGATGTTAATTATTCTAAAGGCTAATGAAGTAGCACGAAAGAACTGCAGACTGACATAAAGAGCTGCCTGCGTTGAACTCATAGGAGGACTGGGTCTATAAGAGACATTGTCGGAAGCCCAAGAAATGGACAAGAACAAATCAAATTAATCCTCTGAAA